AGGAGTGGGAGAGGGAGAAGCAGGCTTCCTGCTGAGCAGGGAGCCCGATGCGGGGCTCGATCCCAGGACCCTGAGATCATGACCTGAGCTGAAGGCAGACACTTAACAACTGAGCCACCCAGGCGCCCTCCTAGGCTTCTTTAGGTTAGAAAATAGTCTATATGATTTTTCTGAGGTTTGTGTTTAAATTGTATGATCTGTGAGGGCAAAAATGTATCTAATTTGTTGACCATAAGCCTCATTAAAATCAGAGTTATGGCAGCTTATTGTTTTTTAAAAACTATCCAAATAAATGTATACATTTTACGAATCAAATATTACTAAAAGCCTTTTTAAAATAAAGGAAAAAACCCACAGCAATTCCCCTGTTCTATCCCCTTCAACCATCAGTTCCTGTAGGCAGCTACTTTTAATTAATTTTAGTAGTTCTTCTGGTATTTACCTACATATTTCTAAGTAATATATATATTCTACTAGATCATTATTTAGTGACTGACAGTTGGGGAGGATTTAAGTCTGCTGCCCCATAACACTACTTCCTCTTGTTCCCCTTTTTGTTAAATCAATATTCAGCATTTGTATTATTATTACTATATAAATAATGCTCTCTACTGAGCTAACACTACACTATAATTACCTTTCCTTTCTTGTACAGCTTTTTGTTTTTCTTGGAGTTAATAATTGCCTTGTTTTCATCAGCCTGGCTTTGTATATAACTATCGTTAAGTTTTGCCACAACTTCCAAGTCTCCACAAAAGTTTCCACATAGTAATATAGAACAGATAATCTATTAGAATCTAAACACCTCCTTCTTGGGGCCCCTTTCTTCCTTTTTCTAACCTGGACCAGTGTTTCTTTTGGGCTACTGTATCACTGTTATCCCAGAACTTCTCTCTGTCATCATCTCGGTGATTCTCTCCACCTCCTTCTTGTGTTGGAACTCTCCTTCCTGGTTTTCATGTTTTCCTCTTTCTTGCTTTACTCCCTCATTTTGGTGGCACACCCTTCCTGAGAAAGGGTGCATGTGAGGTAAATTTACTGAGAACTTTCCTGCCTGAAAATGTCTTTATTCTACCCTTGCATTTTTTTTTTTTTTGGTAGTTTGGCTAAAAATTGAATTCTAGGTTAAAAATAATTCTCGTTCTGAATTTAAAAGATCAAAATGATATTTCTTGGTTGAGTCTTTTCTTACTTATTGTGTTGGGCATTAAGTGGTCCCTTTAATCTAAAGATCCATATCCTTCTGGTCTATGAAATTTTCCTGTATTGTTTCTCCAATAGTTTGTTTTCTTCTCGCTTCCCCAACCCCAGTTTCTCTTCTAGAACTTGTATTGGGCAATTATTGACTCCTCTAGATTAATCTCACATTTTCTTTCTCTCCTAATGCCCATGTTATCATTTTGTTTTACTTCCGGGAAGATTTCATCTACTTTAACTCCCAAACTTTCTATTGATTTTTTTAAATGCCAGAGCTCATATTTTTAATTTCCAAAGAATCTTTCATGTCCTAAGATTGCTATTGCAAGGATGCAATATGTTTTTTAACTTCTCTGTGAAAATTCGTCATATTTTATTGGAAGTATTCTTCTAATCCGTGTATTGTCTTTCTTCCCTCTGATTTCTTTTTTTCTGTTTCTTGTTTTGTCTCTGTCTTTCATGCTGGAGGCTGTCCCTCAAATCTTGTGATCTTTGGCTGTGAGGGAATCACATGCTAAATGAATGTTCTGTGTGTATGTGTAAGGCTCACTGACTGAGGGATTCACTATAGAATTATAGGGCAGTGAACAAACATTTTTATTAGAATACCCTTGAATTCTACACAGTTTTTCCTTAATACCCTTTAATGTCTCCACAGAAGGATCTTCTAACTATCTCCCTAGGGATTACAAGCCTGGCTATGGCCTTCTGGGTAGTAGGTGGAAAAAGGAGGCTAAAAGAGTTTGACGATCAGACTTTTGCTAGTAGCCCCTATTGCTCTGTCTTCTCTGCCTTGGGTCCCTGGTCCTGAGCCTGTCTTGTTTAGAGTAAGTCAACTGTCTTTGGGGGTTGGAGGTGATGATGACAGAGAGACCTAGGGAGCTAACTGCTTTACAGGGACTTTCAATCCACTGCTGACTTCATGCCAGTACCTTCTGTGGGCCCCATGCCTCCAGTTCCTGAGCCCTCCAAGTTCTGAAGGATGACTGGCTTGTTTCTTACTGGTTGCCTCTATGGACGCATAGAATCCAGCCTTTTGTGTTCTCCTTAAACTGTTATCATTACTCTAAAAGCTTGCATAAGGTAGGCATTTGTTGACATTCTTGTCCACTGTTGTCCTCTTTGCTGTTCTGTTCATCTTGTAGGTTTATACTTTTGCATTCCTTTTTTTTTTTTTTTAAGATTTTATTTTTTAAGTAATCTCTACACCCAATATGGGGCTTGAACTCACGACCCCGAGATCCAGTGTCATACACTATTTGACTGAGCCAGTCAGGCGCCCCCTGCATTCTTTTACTGACACTTAAGTGGGTTTCCAGGAGAGAGTGGAGCTGAACATGTATATGAAATGAACATGAACTTTGTCATTTAATTGATGATTATTTCTGAGTTACAGCTTTTTTTTTATTAAGTAGGCTTCATGCCCAGAGTGGAGCCCAATGTGGGGCCTGAACTCAGGACCCTAAGATCAAGAGTCAGATGCTTAACCAACTGAGCCATCCAGGCACCCCAAGTTATAGTTTATTTTTTAAGGAATGTTGGACAGTAACATGTTGATAAATAAATCATATTACTATATCATTTATTCCAGTATTGATACCTGCAAGGACTGGGTCTTCCCTTATAAATCAAACTAATAATATGCTAAAGTTGGATGTGCTAACCAGGCTAAGACCAGGGCCAGGGTTGGTCTTATTCACTTTTGTGTCGAGCATTCTCCTAGGATTTAGCACATACTTTTGAAAAGAAACTTAAGAACAAAAGCAACAACAAAACAGGGAATCAAAAGAGTTGCAGTTTTCTTTTTTCTTTCAATAAACATGTTAATGGTCACCTGTTAAGTGTAGTGAAGAGCTGCATGAGCTGGAGATATGGTGAATGGGACAGAGTCTTTAGCCTGGAGAGCTTCACAGTCTAGTGAGAGAGACTAACAGGAAAACAGGTAAGTACTAGGCAATGTAATTCCTCTTGGTTTAGAAATATGTACCCATGCAGTGGGAGCACCATTCCCCCTGAAAGTGATAAAATGCCTAGCTTATATTCTCTTGATGTTCTTCCTATAGGAATCCAAGGCTCTGGCTAGTGTGAAAGTTAGAAATCAGTCCATATACCTGTGTGCTACATCTTAGCTATAGAGCTATATGCTAACGCTAGATTCATAGAGAGAGAGACAGCTAGATGCTGTATTTTAGCAGGCCCTGTACCTTACAGAAGCATCACCGGAGATAGACAGAAGCTCTAAATACGTCTTCTTCTCAGGGGACTCCGCAAGCTTTCCCCTTCAGAGCTGATCCAGTAGCATGTCTGGGTTCAAAAATGCTTCTCAATGCTGAAAAAAAGTTAAGCCTTGAATGTGATTCCATTATTACAGTAATCATGTTGTTATTGTTTGTAAACATGTGTGCATAATCTTTGAGGGCAGGTTGAAGGTCTTTTTCATTTCAAGGAGGTCATGTGGTGCATTGCAAAGAGCATGAACTTTGAAGTCTGGGGAGCTAGGTTTGAATTTCCCGTATTAGCTGCGTGACTTCTGTCAAGTTACCTGATCTTGCTATACCTAAGTCTCCTACTCTGTCAGACTGAGCTAGTACCTAATTCACAGATTTGTTGTATTAAATAAGCAAAACCAGACAAAGGGCCAAGGGCAGTTCTTGATGGGAAATAGGTGCAGAATGAATGGTAGATCTTATTTTTTTTCTTCCTTCCCCACCAGACAGTGATCCTCTCAAATGCAGAGAACATATGCTATTCTTATGTGTAATCCCAACCTTCGTGCAATGCCGGGCATGAAGTTGGCACTTAATGCATATTTATTCAATGAGTGAATAAATAAAAGGATGTTTGGATTCCACAGGCTGAGGTATTTTCCTGCTCTGTGAATCATTATTTGCCACTTTCTTCCTTTAGACTGCACTTCCTTCACTATTTGCTGATCCTCATAAACCACCATTCTTTTCTGAGCTCCTGGATTACGCATTCTGCGGCGCCGCAGATACAGCTAAGGGACACTAATGTGATTTTTAAACACCCAAGCAGCGCTTGAAATCCAATCCTGCTTATGTACACTGTGGTACAGAATACAAAGAGGTACCCCTGAAATAAAAAAGGTGTCTGAAGCAACAGCGTGTCTCCATTCCTAGTTTGAAAGGCCGTTTGGCAATCACGTCTCCTGGCAGCCCCACAAATAAGACAGCCTTTGGCTGCGAGGCTCCGCAACGAGAGGAAAAGGCGGGAGGAGACGGTGAGGTGAGGAGTTCACGTGGGCTTCAAGTGTTTGCAGCTTTCCTCCACAGAGCTGGGGGGTCGGGGGGGGCACTTTCTGCTCACTTCTAGTCGTGAAAGCGGGAGCGGGGTTTGGCTAAACCATCCTTCGTCACTTTCTAGCGGGGGCAGTTATATGATACCAGGGCTATTTGTAAAAACAAAAACCAAAAAGCCAAAAAAAAAAAAAAACCCCAAAAACCACAAGTCCTAGCCTCGGTGGCATCCTTACTGTGAGCAGTCTGAGCAGCCCGCGCCTCTGTTCCCTGTGGGGTCAAAGCCCCACTGGCGGCAGACACCTTAGGCCAGCACAGAACGCCCCCTGCTACTGTCATCGGCATCGTGCAGTTTAGCCCTGAGTTCTAATACCACTGTTGCGGTCAGGCTCGTCCTCCTCTCCTTCCACATGCTGGAAGTCCGCTGTGTGCTGAGACCATGCCTTCCTCACTTCTGGGCACACACCTTGCTCGGAAGGGACCTGCCCGTCAAAGGGCTCCTGTCTGATAGTGTCCCCTGAGCTCTCGGCCACACCGCACTCTCGGAAACCTCTTTGGATTACACTCTCCTATGAGGACTTCTTGGAGCTTATTCTGCTTTTTTTCATTCTCCTTCACATTCTCCAATATTATTGCTAATCATGTCTTTTTCTTTCATCCCCTCCCCCTCCCCCCAGGGGACATCTCATCTACTCCCAGGGCTCTGATGAAGTCTGACTTCTATGCTAATGACAGCCAATCTGCACACTCATTTCCACCTCTTAGGAAATTCATAATCAATAGACCTAAAAGGAAATTTATTATCTTTTTGCACAAATCGGTTTTCCTCTCTTTTCGCGTTTTTTTTTTAAATTCCATCTTGTATTTGTTCTTTTAGTACGTTTCTCTTGGTTTTATTTTATTTTTTTAAGACTTTATATATTTGTCAGAGCGAGTGAGAGAGCACAAGTAGGCAGAGCGGCAGGCAGAAGGAGAAGCAGACTCCCCGCTGAGCAGGGAGCCCGATGCGGGACTCGATCCCAGGACCCTGGGATCATGACCTGAGCCGAAGGCAGACGCTTAACCAGCTGAGCCACCCAGGCACCCCATGTTTCTCTTGATTTTAAACTCTGACTATACCTATAAATCTAAATATATATCAATATTGATATCTCCGTGTGTATTTATACCTATACTCCCCTATCACTTGGCCTGTGCCTAAAAATGAGTGATGGTTTATCTTGAGTCACTGTTTCGGCCTTTACAATTAAAGTCAGTTTGGGCGGGCAATGCTTTCAGCTGATGGTCCCTTCAGTCCCAAAGGAACGGATCCAGTGTGTTCTCCAGAGAAGATGATAGGGCTCAAGACAAAACAAATGCAAGATAAAATTTTAAGGACATAAATACGCAACATTTAAAAGTTGATTTTGGGGGCGCCTCGGTGGCTTAGATGGTTAAGCGTCTGCCTTCCTTCGGCTCAGGTCATGATCCCGGAGTCCTGGGATTGAGCCTCGCATCAGGCTCCCTGCTCAGCGGGGAGGCTGATTCTCCCTCTCCCTCTGCCTGCCACTCCCCCTGCTTGTGCGCTAATAAAAAATACAAAAATCTCTTAAAAAAATAAAAATAAAAGTTGATAAATAAAAATTAAAAAATAAAAGATAAAAAATAAAAGGGAAAATACCAGGCCATTACATCACCATAATCAGCTTAAGTGAAGTGTCTAAATTAGCTCAAGTTTGGATTTTTGAGGCATCTGGTGCAGAGATCTGAACAATTCTGTGCAGTTAAATCATAAAGCATGAGTTAAATCATCTCTTTCAGAACAGCCTTGAAGAACGCAAGCTTTCGTTACTTCTAAGAGATTTCAGGTGTTGGCTCTTGAAACCCAAGGTTAGATGAGCCCCTTTCAGCTCAAGAGTTATACAGACTCCCATTATCAGATGCACCGGGTGACAAGACCACAGAGCACATCATCTTCAGGGGGCTGCTGTCAGTCCCCCGCCTGGATCAGACCAGGAAAGTCTGCCCAACTGGCTGGGCAGAGGCCAAGTGGCCGGTAATGCAGAACCTTCCCGGCAAATCTCTCCTCTTGCCTGCGCGTCAGCTTTACCAGTGTTTTACGATAATGCCCAAACATCCCAACCATGCAGACTTACGAGGGAGGGAACTGGAATCCGCTGTTTCAGCTCTGAGGTGTCTCCCTGGAGCCACTGATCGGGTCTGTTTAGATGGTGCCTGGAAAAGCCAAATGTGGTGCTTTTTCTCCACTGGACCCCGGGGAAAGGGGCAGTGAGATTTACAGCGTAGTTCAGAGCACAGCAAGAATATTTGAAAACGGGGTTTGTAGTGTTCAAGCAGGCCAATTAGCCGGCAGGGCTTTCTGCAGATGGTCCTCAGGATGTCAGGTTGAGACTAGCTGGCTGAATGGCTTTGTTTGGGGTTTTAAAGTGGTCCCATCTCTCGGGCCGCGTGATCGCGGACTTCACTGCATTTTCAAACAATGCATGTAATAAACGACTTTTCCAAGAACCACTTCAAGTCCTACCTGGATCCCCCCCTCCTTGTCTTGCACTCAGTAATCGTTGCTCACATTTCAAAGTCTCCTGGAGACTGTTTTTCATCTCACTTACTAGACAGAGGCCGCCTTTTCACGAGGAATTGGGCTGTGGAAGTGACTGTAATTCTTCTTCCAAAAATCCTGGCCCCCGGAATCCATTAACGAAGGTACACGTTTGTCTGGGTGACTCTGGCTGGCCCTCTTTATGGTGCTGGGTTTGGGTTGAAGTCTCAGGCCAGAGCCCAGACATTCACGTGCCCCACACCCGCGCCCCCCGCCCCGCCCCGCCGTGTTTTTTATTAAACTGGCATTCCTATCTGCAAAGTCTCCGGTGAGTCCCAGAATATTTAATTTAGTCCAGAGAGGACACACGACACAACTTTACAGATGACATTGACATCAGGGCATATTAAGATTCTAGTCTTCTGGTGGCAATTCTGAAAACAGCCCCACCTGTGGTTTCAGTAGAAAGGCTGATGGGCATCTAGATCTTTTGAGCTCAGTCAGCACAGAGAGCCGGTCTCTGCTTCTTGGAGACTCATGCTGTCTGTACCCAGACATAATTAAAAGATTAAAGAGACATTTGGAAATGGGAACCGGTCACTTTTTAATCAGGGAGATTGATTTTCCGATCCCAGTGCGAAGGTGGAATTTTAAATAATTTAGAGGGCAGAAATCAGTGGCTTGTCCCAACTTGGCCAAAGGAATATAAGCTAGGGGAAAAGGGGGACTCAATTTTTTTTCTTCTTCTTCTTCTTCTCTAAGTGTCTTAATGGAAAGGAGCGTAAAAGGGAGCGAGCCATGGCCAGTTGTTACAAAGATGTTTCTCAGCCTCTGTATCTCTGCTGGAAGAATGAAGATTAGTTTGGTTCCCTCCCACCCCCCCTTTCCTCTTGTCCCTCTGGCTGGAGGCCTGGACATATTCTCTTCACTACTCAGCAACATTTCTCTTTTATCCTGCAGATACCAGTCAGGTTCCAATCAGGTTAAAACCAGAGCCTCCTGAAAAGGGATCCTGGCTGCAGAAAATGATGCTTCCATTAGCCAAAAGGGTGCATTCCAGGGACTCGATTATCAGAATGCACCTAATCAGAGTCAGAATACAGGAGGGCTGACAGCAGGCTCCGCGGTGCTCTATCGGGATGCTTCTGGCACCAAAGGAGAAACAGCCTTCCAGTGTTAATGGAGGTTCCAGCAGCTGTGTGCAAGAAGATATAAAATAGGGGCTCGAAACCTCGATGTGAAGGGGACTAATCGACTGATTGACAGAAACCAGAGAAAAAACTGCAGGGAGAGGGTTTCCAGCTGAGGCTGTTTTTTTTTTTTTTTTTTTTTTAAGGGCACGTTTGGTTTGGGGTCAGGAAACACTGCAACACATTTCTTCTATTCCCAGGTTGGCCAAGTTGGCGGGTCCCCCCTGAGTCAGAGAGTATCGGGTGACAGAGGCTCACCACGCTGGGTCCCTCCTGAGCAGGAGCCTCCAAACACCTCTCCCCTTTCCCAGGTAAGCTTTCAGGACTGACCCAGACTCACCTTCCGACAAAGCAGCGCGCTTAGTGAAATTTCCAGACTGGGTTTGCGCCCTCACCCAAGAGCTCCCTTTTAATGTCCGGAGTGACTTTGCCATTGTGGAGGGAGGAATGGAGAAACCCTTTTAATTCCACAAACATCCTATGAGGTCCTGTGTTTCCAGAGGAGGAGTTGCCAGGCAAGTGTCTCAATCAATAAAGGGAAGGCAGTGACTTGGGAAGGAGGGAGGAGAAGGTGAATAGCAGAGGGCTGAGAGTGGACGCTGCCACAGGGGAGGGTGGGGCAGGGGAGATGGCCTCCCTGGGGCACCTGTCCGGCCATGAATTGGGCTGGGACAATTAGAAGCAGGAACTACAGCATTTTTGCTACTCTTGAGGATGCACCGACCAAGGGATCTATTTATAGGACATTTTCTCCCATAAAACTCACTGATTAGAGATAGCACTGTAACAGAGGCCCAGCGCCTCCCAAAAGGAGTGGGCTCAGATTCACAGCCTTCTGGCTACTGAAATGGCGACGAATAATCAACTATGGGGACCGAAAACCAACTCTCAAATAGCAGATCACGGGGCTGAACGTAACAACAGCATTCTAAAGGGCCGTTGTTTGCATTCATGCTTCACGTCCGGGCACTGTTCCTCTGTAAGAAATAACCAGAAGAGCACTTTTTCATGTGTCTGTTGGCCATTTGGATGTCTTTAAAAAAAAAAAGAAAGAAAGAACCAGGAGATACTACATTACGGTCCTATCATTTCCACAACCCTGGCTACTTGCCTATAACCCTAAAGCAGGGGTTCCAGACATTTTGGGGTAGAGAGTTCTTCTCTGGGAGAGGCTATCCTGCATATTGTAGGATGTTCAGCAGCATCTCTGGACTGCACCTGTCTGTTGCCTGCAGCACCTCCCTCCCCCCGATCGTGACAACCAAAAATACCTCCAGTTATTGACAGTAACCCCTGGGAGATGGGGCAGGACTGACCGCAGTTGAGAATCACTCTCGAAAAGAAGCGTATCATTTATATTGAATCAGTAGGGTCAACTACAAATCAGGTTGAATCAGCACTTATTTATTAAGCTTCCTATAAATAACTAATAAGACTACCTTTGGCACAAGACTGTAGGTTTGAGCCACACCAGAATCAGTCTCATAATTGTTACCTACTCTGTTCACACTGATGTTGCAATGCAGTCCTGAAGAAAACTCTCAGCACACAAAGTCTTATGTTACCACCTTTATTTGGGTTCTCTTCCTTTTTCCTCTCCTTGCTGTCTCCCCCCACCATCCCCTTGACCACCAACTGACTTAAAATTATACCTCTTTGAAGAACGTTTTCCAGAAGGCAATGCTTAGTGCAGAGACGTGATTCACTAGTGGTGGAGTCTCGGGTAACCGGGCTCAGGTGGTCCAGGAGAGAATTCTGCAAGGGAGCCTCTCCACTGTCCTTAAATCATACCAGGCAGAGGCTACCAAATGCCTCCATTTGTATACTTGGCTCTGTCAGAGCAGATCGTGTTATTAGAATCCACTAACAACTGGCAGTAATAGTCAGAATTTTGGGTAGCTTTGCTGGGAAACAGATCTGGTTCTGGTTCTGTTTCTGAAGACAAGGATCTTGTCTCAAAGGAAATGGAAACTTTTTGCCCCAAGAAAGGAATAAATGCAATCAATGGTTCTTACAGAGCTGTTTTTCCAAGTGATTTTGGTCAGGTTAAGTGTGTCAGCAAATTGAACCAAGTGTTACCATCATAGATTATGAAATGCAGAGTCTAACTTTAATAAGGTTACCAGTAAATGTGGGAGTTCTGGGTCAGTAATGGGGAATTGGGGTGAGTGAGAGCCAAAGAAAAAGTAGCAAGACAAACATATCAACAATAACCTGTAGGGTAAACATAAAGAACTATTGCACACTTTGTGAGAACAGGAAGTGAAATTTCTGTCTGCATTAGCATGGTGTCGCAAATGTGTGTTGGGTCATCAGGTGCATTTTAGAGGGGACCTCTGTCCTAAGGGTCTTCTGGTATCCAGGTAGCTAGAGGAGGGAAAGAGCCTTTGGGGACATTGATACCTAAGTCTGTCTGAAGATCGAGGCCTGTATAAAAACCAGTCCCTCCAATAGCAAAAGTTGGTCTCTTCCATACCATTCTGCTAGTTGAAAAGTGTGAAAAAGAAATGATCTTGTTGGTTGAAAATTCTCATGCTATATATTCTGAAAAGTGTCTTCCACGGTCTGACTAGAAATACAAGTGTTTATTCCAAATAAGAAAATGAAATGGAGCAAAGGGAACAAATTCATAGGGAATCCATTCTGTGCTTCCAGCTTTCTTGAGCTGGAATACTGTTCCTGTGCAGTACCCAATTTCCCCGAAATCTGTAGAGCAGAGTAGACAGTACAACAAACAAGCTGTGATCAATGACTGTCAGGCCTCTCCCTTTTAAATCAGCTCCTATCTCTCTTTGGAGACATGGCGTCTTTCCTGTCTGTACATATGCGTTGACTCTCCTTCCTGAACCATTTCTGAGATGTCTGGTGAGCAGCTTTGTAATGACTGCTTCCCTCCCCACGTAAATGATCTGCTTAGTGTAAGACTTGGGGCTGTCTGTTTTTTAGTTGACTTTCAGGCATTGGGTAACTCGCGGCTAAGGTGATCTCATTCAGTTTCCTGGCTTCAGTACCATCTGCTTGTTGATGTCTCTCAGTCCAGACTTCTACATGAACTCCTGCTTCTCATTCAGTAGCACCACTCCGACGTCCCATAGGCATCTCAGACCTAACGAGTCCAGAACCTTAATTCCTGGTTCCCATCCAGCAAGCCTGTCCTTCCGGGAGTCTCCCACATCTCAGCAAATGTCAGCTGCACCCCCCACCCCATTCAATGGGGCCCAAAACCTCGTTATCATCCCACCTCTCACTAAGTAGAGCCAATCCATCAGCACAGTGGTTGGTTCCAACTTTAAAGACCATCTATCCAGAATCTAATTACTTCTTACTACCAGTGTGTCTGTATCTGTCCTAAACCACCCTTTGTCTCTTGCCCAGTTAAATGCAACAGCTTCTTTTTCTTTCTTTTTTTTTTCTTTTATAGATCTTACCCTTAAGTAATCTCTACACCCAACGTGGGGCTCAAACTCACAACCCCGAGATCAAGAGTCGCACGCTCCCCTGACTGAGCCCGCTGGGCGCCCCTAAATGCAACACCTCCTTAGCTCACCATATTCTCAGCAGGGCAGCTAGAGGAGTCCCTTTAAAATTGCCGCTCTGCTGAAAATTGTCCAAAGTCTTCCCATCTTAGAGTCAAACCAATATCCTATGGGTAAGAAGGCCACAGGGATCCTCCCAACAGCATTTCCCATCCTCTTCCTCTCTCTCAGTGGGTTCCAGGCCCATTGCCCTCCTGGTTTTTCCCATGAGCCCGCCAAGAGTTCTGCATCTGGGTCTTACACTCGCTCTGACCTGCTCACACTGCCATTTCTCAGGTAGCAACCTGGCTTCCTCCCTCACTCACTTTGGGTTTCTGCTCAGATGTCAGCTTGCCGGTGAGGGAGGCCTTGCCCCAACTGTCTAGCAGCACGTGGACCTTTCTTCCCCACACACAACTCTCCATCTGCCTTCCCTGTATCATTTTTCTCCCAGGCGTTTATCAGGTATACTCTTCTACTTACTTGTTTCCTTTTGTCTCTCACACAGGGATGTAAGGCTTAGGAGGGAAAGGACTTCGTTTTGTTCACTGCTGTATCCCTAGGGCCTGTATCAAGGACTGACACATTCTGGGTGCTTAGTACACATTTGTGACTTTATAGTCCATTTAAATGTTACTGTTGTAGGAAACCTTCCCTGATCCTCTGAATCTGGGTTAAACATCCCTCCCTCAGCTGTCTGTCCCTCCCTGTTATAGTGCTTACACACTCCATGATGATTTCATGGCTAATTTATAAAAACTCCACAAGGACTGGAGTTAAGTTTTTCTTTCTCACTGATGAATCTCCAGTAGTTGCAAAGTGGTCGGCACATTGTCCACACTCAAATATTTGTTAAATTGAATACACACACACACACACACACAAAAGACAGGGTTATAATTTGGTGAGTTAAAATTCACATAATACAGAATTAACAATGTTAAAATACATATAGTTCAGTGGCATTTTGTACATCCCTAATATTGTGCAACCATCACCTCTTTCCAGTTTCCAAGCATTTTTTCGACCCAGAAGGAAACCCCACCCCCATTAAGCAGTCACCCCATTCCCCAGCTCACCCCTGCCCTTGGCAACCACGAATCTGCTTTCCATCTCTCTGGACTCACCTATTCTTGATATTTCACGTCAATGGAATCATACACTGTGGGACCTTTTTGGTCAATGAGGTTTTCATGGATGTGACTTAGAAAGGTTTTATCATAGCAAGACTGTTTTTAATCCGATTGGCATGTGTAGCAATAGGTTTAACCTGCATTTCTTTCAAGCGCATACCACTCAAAAAGGCCAAATCACTTCATGTGAAGAACTTTCTCCTGAGTTACCACTGCTAATTTACCAGAAGCCTTTTCTTGTGCTATGGCCCATCCCTCCGGCCTTCATCCTCCCACTCAGCCCCCTAGCAAGGGTCTCGCATTCCACCTCCGCTCACAGTTTATCAGACCCCCCACCTCTTTCTGGAAGCTTGCTGGGATGAAAGTATTGGCAATAAAAGACCACAGCTGAGGGGCACTGCTGAAAGTCCATAAAATCATGAAAGGTAGGGGAAAATCTGTGTAAGAACTTGTTCCTCAAATCTGGGAATCTTTTTGAAGCTTAAAGGGAAAGGTAAAAAGTTTTATTTTATGTAGTAGATTAGATACACACACAACTTGTTACTCTGGTGAAAAGATAAATAGCTTTAGGGTTTAGACAAATATACAGACAATAAATCAATACCAGGCTGCTGAGAGGAAGCAGGGGACAGGAGTTAACATCCGAGGGCAATTACTGTTCTCTGGCACAAATACCTCCGGTTGGGCTGGGCACTGGGCGGCCTGGCAAGGGTGGGCCCACGGTGACAAGCTATCCATGAACTTGCCCTCGGGTGGAGCATTATTCACATGTTCCTGACTTTGGCTATTTCAGAACCTGCAGGTAACAGGATGGCGGG